GTGTTATACTTAATTTATACACTGTATCCGTATCTTAATCAACACATATACCATATACGTATTGTGTGTACTGTATAATAAGTACAACCACAAATTAATATAATTATTATCATTTATTAAAACCAAAATCTTTATACGAAATTCAGTAAGTATAAAAGACTTTGTCTAACTGTGAATATTAATAGTGGTAATTTTGATGTATATTTATATATTATAATATATATTTACCGGTTTCAAATYTTTTTGTTTGACAAAATTCAACTATAGGTAATAGTTCCATCAGTAAAAAAATAATAAGACCCGTGTTAACATGTATTTTATATTTGATCAAAATCATAAAAAACGACCATGTTAAAAATCTTTAAAGAGATTAAGATGGCATAAATCGACGAGCATTATTATAATTAGCGGGAAACGGTTTATTTCAATATATTATAATAATGGTTGGATATAATTTAAAACAATGTACCGCAATTACAAAAACATAAGTCACTCATAAATTGTTTTAAAATTYAGCGGCGAGATTCAGCTAGCTTTCATATTAAAACCATTTGACGTTATTTATTGCACGGAAGACCGCTGCTATATCTTCAATATATCATAAAAAAACTTAAGTAAGTCCGATCGCGATGAAGCTTTGGGAAATTGTTGAGTATACTACCTCCAAGGTTTCTGGAATCTTACACCCTGTCATCATGGTGTATTACAACCGGAACTTTACTGGGCTAATTATATAAACCGAAATACACCAACATACACCTATTTTGGATTAAATGATCCTTTTTTTCCAGGACGAGCCAGCTAGGTATATCAAAAACCAATTTATAGCACATTGTATCCATGCAATCCGCTATAGTTTGGATTAAGTAAAACGATAAACTTTGTAAAACTTTGAAACTTTAGAGTAAAAATCTATATACTTACGTTTACGTGGTATACGTAGGTACCTCGCGTACCTCCACAATCCACCGATTCCACCGTAATCCACGCATCATCATCATAAACTAGTTCCACGGGCAATGCCGGACGGCAWAGCAAAAWTATGTAATCGAACGTGTCCTRAGTGATCAAAGTAGAGCATAAACAATGTTAGCTTGAGATTTACAATTTTCATGAGACCTTCGTACCACCATTAACATTTTCCAAAATTCACATTTCAATTATGCGCTTGTACAAGTATTTTGAGAAGAGTGGCAGACGTCTCATAACATACTGTAAAGTATACCGTATTTCAAAAGTATAGATATGTCCCGTTAAGCTTAGTACTTCCGAGAAGTCAAATTGTCCCGTTTTTAAAAATAATAAATAATATTTCTATTGCATAAAAAGATATGTAAAGAAAATTACGCAAAATTAAAATACCTATAATCTTCATA